TATCATTATCATTTTTAGACTAATTACATCATTATCATCATCATCATCATCATTATCATCATCGTCGTCATAATAATAATAATCTTCATCATCATCGACTCGTACATCAGGCACCTTACATATGGTTAAAATAAATGTCAACCAGCCAGCAGTCCAGCGGTAACCTTTATAATAAACTCCTCAAAATTATGATCATCATAATTAATCGTTATCAAGATCACCTCACTATCATCATCATCATCACCATTATTATCATCATTTTCATTATCATCGTCATCATCATCATCGATCCAACTGGGTGAGTGAACATCATCGCATCATAACGTTATAGTGGTTATTATGTAATCAAACTATCATTACTAAGTTTGTCATCATCATCACCATCATCATCACCATCATCATTACCATTATCACCATCATCATCATCACCATCTTCAGAATCGTCATCACTATCAGCAACATCTACATCGCAATCATCGTCATCATCATAAACCGAATTCTTATCACCGTCATCACCATCATCGTCGTCGTCGTCGTCATCACCATCATCGTCGTCGTCGTCGACGTCATCAAATAAAAAAGACCAAAAATAGTGAACTATGATATTTACATAATTAAGATTAACTGGCTTCTTTGATATGACAATTACTTCGCCAGTCAAAGGAGCGCGCTTTCTCTCTCTCTCTCTCTTTCTCTCTTTTTTTTCTCTCTCTCTTTCTCTCTCTCTTTCTCTCTTTTTTCTCTCTCTCTTTCTCTCTCTCTTTCTCTCACGCATCCTTTTTTCTTTCAATTTTATGTGTTTTTTCTTATATTTTCACTTGATCAAACTATCTTTAATTTTTTCTTCATTTCTTTCTCTTGTATTTTTTTTCCTCTCTCGATGTTTGACAGAATTTTTTTTACAAATACACACACACACACACACACACACACGTACACTCGCGCACACAAACAAACACACGTGCACGCACACGAACATACGCACACACACGTATACAAATAGTCGTTGTAAACATCCATCCATTAGCCAAAACGCACTTCTTTCTCTTTAAACATAATTAATAACTTCATCCAACCCACAGATAAAATGGAATTGGACTGCCTGGCACTCCCTCAACCACCCCCATCGTGGTTCCACCCAGTCACACACCCATTTCTCTACAACCACCGAGCAAATGGGAGTTTTTTCAACAGCGAAAGTGGTTGGTGTGGTAGATTTCCAGCAATTTGAACTGTAGCCCTGCTAGTAAGGTGAAGACAAAAAAATGTGAAAACTTCAACGATAATGTGAGTGACTGGAGTAAGGATGGCATTGATTTGCCGTTGTCTACAAATGTAACCGCATCTTCTTCATCACCATCATTACCACCATCTACTTCGGCATCATCATCCACAGAATCAATTGAAACATCATTCCAGACGCAAACATCCGCATCAACAGTTTCTTCGTCCTACAAAACCAATCCATTTTTATCACCGAAATTTTTGTTCACGAAACCTTTTGATTCACTTCAAATCAATCATTTCCACCATCCACGTCAATGTCTCTCTTTACCGTTACCTTCTTTCATTCAGCCAAATTATTTTCCACTCCCGCGTCATTTCTTTGGCAGTTCAAATCCCAACAATCCTTACAACGCCAATCCTTTCTCAGTTTTTTCTCACCATCCATCCCCTCCTTCGATTGTGGCGCCAACTGCAATGCCAACAGAGCAGCTGAATAAATGTCTGAACATGAACCAAACTAAATTGCAATATTTTATTCCCTGGGGCACCAGTTCACCATTTCACCTTTCGTGCTTGCAACGACCTCCTCCGAATCTAACCTTCTCGAAATACTTGACCGAGTTGGAAAACTTACGACATGCGAATGATAAGATTATGGTAACGACAAGGAAGTGCACCAGGTGTCGGTGTCCCAACTGCCAAAAATTATTGGAAGCCAAAGTCCCAGCTGCTGCCAAACATTCTGCAGTAACATCGAAAACTGGCGAGTATGTTGGGATAAGAAATGAATACGTCACCTCTACTACCTTGGGAGTTGATGATAAAAAAAAATCGTTTTCAACCTCTTCGTCGTCGTCGTCATCATCTCCAAAGTTATCTTTGTTAGCGTCATCGTCATCTTCTTCCTCATCATCAATGTCATCATCGCTGCTTACTTCTGCATTGAATTCATCACACCCCAATATGTCTCACCCAGCAATATTTTCAGCATCATCGTTTCCACTATCATCAACATCTTCCTCTGCAGTGAACAGTTCATTTCAAACACACCATCCTCACCACCACGCTGCTTCCATTAATTGCAGCACCGGTAGCCACCGCAACAACATCACCAACGACAGTGGTTCGACCAGCACTACATCAACGACAGCCACCACAAGTAACAACAGCAACAACATCAACAAACCTTTCAAGAAACTACACATCTGCCACCTTCCAGGTTGCAACAAGGTCTACGGCAAGACTTCCCACTTGAAGGCCCACCTCCGCTGGCACGCTGGGGACCGACCCTTCGTATGTGCCTGGCTCTACTGTGGCAAGAGCTTCACTCGCTCGGATGAACTGCAGCGACACATGAAGACACACACAGGGGACAAAAAATTCGTCTGCCAGATATGCGGGAAGAGGTTCGCCAGGAGCGATCATTTAAGTAAACACGTGAAAACACATGGCTCTGCTAAGCTAGGGTCGACAAGGATGAAATACAGGCAGACGACTAACGCAGCACCAACATCAAATGTCAAAACTGCTGGCTTGAAAAACAGGTTTTCTAGTGGAAAACAATTTTGCCACGAATCAACGTGCAGTGACGTCATTAACAACAGGAGAAACAATAACAACAACAACAACAACAACAACAACAATGCAAGCATCAACGATAACAACGTGGTAGATAAGAAAGCAACCTGCAGTAACAAATATAAATTGAGAAACCGTAACGACGACGATGTGAGGAATAAAATAAAGCCCAACAGCGTTATAAATATGCAACTGCAGCAGCACTTTCAGCAACATTTTCAACAGCAACAACATCAGTTCTATCAACATCAACACCATCATCAACAACAACAACTAACTTTCAATCAGCAACAACAAAATCTAAACAACAACACCAACAACGCTAAAGATAACGAAGACGACGACGACGATGATGACCGCAACGTTGTCAGCACGACGACAAAAAGTCCTTGCAGTGTCGAAAATCTTTTCTTAGATTTTTGCGACACCAACAACAACATAGACAGCAGCAACAACAACAACCATTACAACAACCAAAACAACGACGTCAAACAACTCGTTTACCACCAGCGCCCGCATAATTACTACAATAACAACAAAAACTTTAACATCGGCCACACGGCTAGCAGCCACAATCACCGCAGCAGCAACAGTCACAACTACCACACAACATATCCTACAAACAACGACTTAACTCATTCGCCCAGCATATCATCAACACATTCACCACTTAGTTTTCCACCATCTAACACCCGCAAAGATAACTCCAACCGCACAGTACCCTTCCACAAAAGCGTTATTATCAAACAAGAAACAAACAATTGTAAAATAATTTCACGCAGCGATGACGTCACCGATGACGTAGACGATGACGCGAGCAGTTGCGTGAGTGATTGCGAATCAGAGTTTATTGATATCGAGGACTAACGTGTATCTGTCTGTGTGCGTGTGAATATGTGTGCGCGCGCGTATGTATTAACGCGCGCATATATGTGTGTGTATGTTTGTGTGTGTGTTTTTGTGCGTGTGCGTGTGTGTGTGTGTGTACGTGTGTGTGTGTATGTGTGTGTGTTTGTGCTTATATAAATGTGTGTTTAAAATAAAACTATAAAACTATAAAACTAGCAGGGTTTGGAGAAAAAATTGTATGAAAATATTTTCTAAATCAGCGATGCTCTCATGATCAATTCTGTCAACAATTGTGGATATTTTTGTTGCTATTGTTGTTGTTGTTATTGTTATTTCATTTTTTCTAATTTTTTTTACTCTTATTATTATTACAACTGTTATTTCGGACGATGTATGTAGTATTTAGCACTTTCAAACGAATCAAATAACCATTTTGATGGGGCCAGTTCGTCTTTTTCATTTTGATTGATTGATATCAGGATTGATTGATATTACGAATTGTTATAAATTATTACAAAATAAATTGAAAATTATTATTCTTTATATATTATTATTTATTGTTTATTATTTTATTGTTTAATTTGTTATTCTTTATATATTATTATTATTTATTGTTTATCATTTTATTGTTTAATTTATCAGTTACTGTCAGTTCAATTCAAATTTATTTGTAGGGAGAATTTTTTTTTTCATTTTTTATATAAACGCTGATTATTGCAACTAGTGTTTAGATTATATGTGCGTGTTTGTGTGTGTGTGTGTGTGTGAAAAAATTAATAAATAAATATATTTTTGAGAAATTTATTAATAAATATTGATCACACGTCAAATGTCTTAAAAAAAAATTTGCAAATGTTTTTTCAATATATTTTCATATTCAAAATTTTTACAAATTACAAAAGTACATGTAAAATTCATCAAAAATGGTAGAAGATAAAAATAACATCTTATAAATATAACACATAAAATTCAGACAATTTCACATTTTTCGCATACACATACACACACACATACATAAACGCACACACACAAACATTAATACACACGCATATACAAACACATACACACACACACAACGCATAGAAACGTAAATTATCATAAATTAAGAACAAATTAAAAAATAATTAGCAAATAATTTTATTTAATAAGGATAAACAGACAAAGTATGATTGAAGGAAAGTGGTTGTATGTGTGTGTGTGCGTGTGTGCGTGTGTGTGCGTGTGTTTTCAAACGTTTAGAGCATCAAAGTCACACATGAAAGAAGAAACAATGCCTATACATCATCGTGTTCTTATTATGATTGCTTGTATTCTCAAAACGTTTCGTGTGTGTGTGTGTGTGTGTTTGTTTGTTTCTGTATGTAATTGTGTAAGTATTTTACCTTTGTTTACACAATATATAAAAATAGATGTATGTATGTTTGTGTGTATGCTTGTGTTTGTGTGTGTGTGCGTATGCGTACGCGTGTAAAATTAATAATAATTTTAATGAAATTTTTATCATTGAATAAATTATTAATTTATTTATTAATTTTCTCACAGCGAATGAAATATCAATAAACTTGCAACATTTATGAAAAATTTACTTCAAGTACCCATTCAATAAATGGACGAAAACCACAACACCAAGTAAATAAATAATGAAATAATGTGTGGGGGAAAAAAGGCCGTAACAACGCAAGCTAAGAAATTAATTATCTTTTTATTCGTTTAAAACAACAATGATGTTAAAAAGATAATATAATCTATAATAAATAAAATACAGTATAGTATTGTATTGTAAAGTATTGTATAGTATGTAAATGTATAGACTAGTATAATATATATATTTATATATATATATATATATATATAATATAAGGTATATTATGTCATAAATATAATTCAAATATATTATAGGGTAAAAAGGAGAAAATCCATCCATCCATCCATCCATCCATCCATCCATCCATCCATCCATCCATCCATCCACCCATCCATCCATCCATCCACCCATCCATCTATCCAACCATCCGTCCGTCCGTCCGTCCGTCCGTCCATCCATCAGAACATGGTTTCCGGTTCAACTTGTTTCGGTGCAATGGCCGGCAGAACGGCTAAGAAGAGGACACATGCGAAAATGTTGAGGACCGTGTAGATGATAAGGAACATCTTATCCACTGTTGACACAATCACGTTCCACTGAGTTTTTAATGTCTCCTCCTCAAGTTTTTCTCCCAGAGAGTTGTAATGTCTCTCTCTTTCCTCACTATCCACCATGCTTTTCTCTCTCATTCCACCGGGTGCTTTCACCTTCGCGTACTTCAATCTCTGCCATAATTTTGATGGGGTTTTTTCAGTTTCAGGAAGTTTTTCTTGGTGGTCGTTTGCGATGTTGATGTTAGCGGTCCTGGCGTGGCTCTCATCTGAAATTGTAAAAATTTCTTCATTTCCATCGTCTGGGTTAGCTTCCGTTTCGACGGCGCTGTTGTAGTAGTAGCTGAAGCCTCCGTCGTCGACGTTTCTCTTGTTGCTCTTGCGAGTGTGCCTGCGTATTTTAGAAACTTGCTCGGAGATCATGTTGAAGGCGCGTCTCCATAAAGTTGCTGCTTTATTGCCGCTGGTAGAACTTTCATGGAAATTCCTGTTGGTGTTGTTTGCTCTCTCAGACTCTGCTGGCGACGAATTCATCTCGTTTCCACTTTCTCCCGCCAGTTGCACGCGGCGAGATGATTTTCCAGATTTCTGATTATTTACGTCGTCAGATGTCACCTCTGTTCCACTTTCCTCGATACCAGAGTTTTTAACTCTCTTGGACTGCTTCTTGTAGTGTTTGCCTTTAAAGGGATTATTATTTTTCAACAAAATTACTGATTTATTTTTATCAAGTCTAACAATTCAAAATATATTTAAAAAAAACTAAAGTACACGCTGGCAAACATAACGACAAGTGTGCTATAAACAAATTAGTTAAGGATAGATAAACATTTACCATTGATTCGAAGGATTGGCATTAATATGCTTTTTAAACATATCTAAACTTAATGAATTAAATGCAGCGCAGTGAACTTTCTCACCCTTCTTCCACATAGCATCAATATCATTCAAGGCGTCCAGACGGGATCGCGTTCCGAGATATTTTGAAAGGTAATCAAAGACGAGAGTCTGCAGCCACTTGGGAGGCCGGGTGTAGTTCACGTGGAAGTGCAAGATGAGGACGAAAATTGTTGACAGCAGGGAAACACTCGCAAAAAACATGACGAATGAAACGTAGACGGCTGGATTGGAAATTGTTTAAAATTATTTTTCGATCAAGATATTTATTTTTATGTTTTGGTTTAAAGTTTAATTGGAAAAAGCAAACAAACTTATATAAGGAACTATATTGGATGTCTTTGGCATGTTGTCTGCAACACCTAGTTGGAAGACAGAATAGGCCAACAGGATTGTTATACTCAGCGATACTTTCTCCGATGAATCTAAAGTTCCCGTGTTTTAATTAGTGCTATTAATTCATTAAAAGAATAAATAAAATATTAATTTAAACCTATTCAAAAATTTGAATGATCTAAATAACTCAGTAATTTATTTAAATTTATATTCTTAAAAAAAAGTACCAGCTGGGAGTAAGTACACGAAGATGACGAGGAAGGACATGATGGTCGATGGGATGATGAGTGTCACCACGTGATAGAGAGGTTTGCGGTTGATGTAGAAAACGAACCTGGCTACCGAATAATATTCTCTATCTATTTCCAACGGTATGATATCCACCTGAAAACTCGGAGGAATGAAAATTTTAGGCACTCGTGTCAGTTTTGTTTACGATTCAACGTGGAAAATATAAAGAATGATGTAGGAGGAAGGAATGAAAGAAATGTAAAGAAATGATGAATGTTTGTTTATCGCGGGGACAACTGGACAGGAACAGAGCACATCGTAGCTACTTTCAAAGATTCTTCACTAGTTCGTTCAAGTCCTTGCCATTCATTTGTTAACGATGAGTTGTAATAAATAAAGTGAGTAAAGTTTTTTAATAAAATTTAGCCACCATAAATCAAATAAAAGGATGTGTCAAATTGTCTGCTATCGTCAGGTTTTTCGATATTTTCACTATGAAGAACACGCGCGCTCTGTTTTGTTGTTGTTGTTGATACATGTTAAAAAGAACCGCTGAAGGATAAAAATATTATTTTTTTTTGATTGATTAATAGATTAATAATGCTGCTAAGACTATGTCTTTCGGGAATTTAGAATTACATGATATAAAAACGCAGCTAAGACTATATCATGTCAAGAAATTGATTCAATCTTAAAAATACTCTCCCGTTGATAAAATAAATTTTAAAATGGATTTTTGTTGCAAATAAACATCAAGCAAGGTTATAGTGCATTTTAAAAGTAGCTACATATCTTATATGTTTGTGAATGTACAGTACAACTGAAGTACATATCTTGTATGATTAAGAATGTACGTCTACAAACGCTCCTACCTCCACGCGCGTTAGATTCCACTGCCCATTACCGTTGAAGTTTTCCAGGTCGACACTTTTTCCAAAAGGCTCCAAACTCAACTGACTCTCGCTATAGGTCCAGCTGAAAATTTCGAGGTAACAAGCTTGAGAGTCGAAGGGAAAGTACTGAAGGTTCAACTGGCAGAATGTTGTCGTCTTGCCCGAGGTTGAGTAAGAGACTGTGCCGTTTGAGAAGAGTTGAGCTCTGTACCTCTCGTGGTCGAAGATGTCGCCGAATACTTTGTCCGCACTGGTCAATTCAACGTTCATTTATCAGAATGTGATCATCATTTTGATTCATCTGCATCTTATAATCTTAAAAACCTGTTTCGAACGGCAAAATTTGGAAACCATATTTTTTCTGATTTGACGACGATGTACTTGATGTTGTACTCGCTTTCATTCCAAGTCAGGTTGAGATTTTGCCACCTCTGGTGAATATTTTTGTTTCATCAATTTGAGGAAAAAGATTTGCATATTTTTAAACTTTTTGTGAGTTTACAAAAAAAATGTTGTGCATTAATATATTTCTATAATATGGATTAAAACCATACCAAGTTGAGCCATCCGAAGATAACAAACTGTTGTTCTTTTTGGTTCTATTTCGATACATTGAGCGGTAGTTTCAGTGAAAAATTACAAAAAAATGACGAATTAATTATAAATCATTAAAATTAATGCAATTTTTATTTTTTAACGTATTTTTGAAATAAATCAACAAAAAACTCAATGACGAATGAGCAAGTTGGCTTGTAAAAAACAACTTGAAAGTTGATTTGCACAAATATTTCTCATAAAACCTTGAATGAACGTTTACTGAAAATTAAAAAATAAACGGACGTACGAGATCCATGATAGAAAGCAGTTTGTACTCCATTTTTACTTTGATTGTGGATTGATTGGGCTGCAGCGGTCTGATGCGAGCATCTGTAGTGTTCTTCAAAAACTTCGACAACAAAATCTTCTCTGATGTCCAAAGCTGCTCTGATAATTTTCAAATATCATCGTTATTTCATATTTAAACGTGTTGTTTACATACACATACATAAATAAATAAATATATATATACAACAAGATAATAAAGAATCATTTGTTTAACGATAGGTTCTTGATTTGCATAATGGAATTCACCATCTCGTTTCAATACCTGGCTGGTTGAACTGCCCACAGATAGGACAATTCACAAGCAATGACATTACAAGCATTATAATTATTACAAGCATTATTTTCAACGTTATTTAATTATTACTTAGTTTTAAAAAAATCAAATAATTTTTATATAAAATAAATAGCGTATGCGATTGCAAACATGCATCGAAATAATGCGAGGTTAAATGTTCTCTGTTAATGTTTTTACCATCATATTTCTCATATTTTACCATCATATTTCTGTTAATGTTTTTACCATCATACTTCCCACGAACGAGCACATGCTTCTATAGTTTTCTTTTTTTCAAATTCAAATTCATGAAGGAGGATGAATCAATATTCATATAAAATATGTACGTGTAAACTGCATGCGCGGACACGACAGTTTGCACAGAGCAAACACAAAGTAGAAATTAATCGATATCAAAATACTTCCTCTGATGTGAAAATATATTGAAAAGGATAGACAGAAGCAAAAACAAAATGAAATGCAGAGCAAAAAACTTTATTGAATGAATGACAAGAGAAATGTTGTTGCACTGTACTCATCACAAATTTTGGAATCTCTTCCTCGGTTTCTCTAAAGAGCTGTTTTAAAAAAAGCATTAAAAAACAAAACATAAAAATTACAAATCAGCTTGGCAAAAAACTATTTTACTATTAACATTTAATTGTAGAAATTTTTATTATGCAAAAGTTCGTCACATTTTCATTAATTCCGCTTCATTTTATTCGTTCTATTTTGCGTTCATCTAATTTGATCGCTAATATGTAGATTATGGAACTGTTGAATGATTTATTCATGCTCCATCAAAAGGGTAAAGTGCAGTGTCATAATCTAAAGTTTGTAAGGATAATTATACATTACAAAATTACATTATGAATCGATACATTAAAGTGTCAGTTACTGTAATATTACAAAATTTCGAGAAATAGTTTACACTTTATCAATATAATTCAATTTGCAAAATTAGAAAAAATATATAAAAATATTTCCACAGAAAGGTCATCCATAATTCAGGTTGTTTACATTTGATCAGTTCTTCCATATCGTTTTACATAGATGTCAGTCAACGTACGTATTTTAATTTCTGGTATTTGACATAGTAATATATTTGTAATATAGGTATGTATTTAGTATGTTACGTAACACGCACATTTATTTATGAATAAATTAATGTTCTTAATCATAAACCTGTAATATGAGCTGTTTGTAAAAGATTTTGTATAGGAATTAAACTATAGTACAATGTTCATTGGCTGATCAAAATAATAGTAGATATGGTAATCACCTGAAAAAAATATTTAATGAGAAGCCTCAGTTTTATTCAGAACATAGTTGACGTTAATTTTTTTTAATCAGCTTAACTTGCCAAATTTAGTTGAGGTAAGGTCAATGAGTATGTACCTCTAAAGTACAGTACATAGAATGTGCGTGTATGTGGTGTGGTGTGGATGTAGCAGCTTTTGTAGCATAAAATTTTGATTTTAAGTGTTGCATTTTAAAAAACAAAAAGTATTTTGTAATTCAACATAAATGGTTCAGCTTTTTTTTATGAAAAAAAAAAACTTGCTGTATTCCATTTATTTTAACTACTCTACGTGGTTTTATTTGGAATGATATATAAATTCAAATGATTCACTTGTAAAATCACAATGGAATTTTAAAATTCCCATTAAACTCTCACAGATTAACCCGGTTTAATCCTCATTTTAATAATAATACTAAATATTACGCAAAAAGTTCTATGCAAAAAGTAAACTTTGTACATTTACTTTCTACGTGATTTATCATCAAATGTAATATGATGTAAAAACGTAAGGTATGGTTGCTTGGCTTTTTCTGTAATCGTAATGTGCTGGAGAGCAGGTCAAAATTTAACGTTATCTGTTTATAACAACATTTATTTATATAAACATAACAGATTGCAGTACAGTACAATACATGAGTACAATACACAAACACACACAGACACTAAAAGTCAAAAACTATAGCAATAGTATAGCTATACTACTCATACTCACTGCATACTTGTACTAAGTACTAGGACACAAAAACTCAAAAATCATGCTGCATACAATACATGTACTAACTAAGTACTCTCATGCAATTTATGATTTTCATACTTGCAAATTTTTTATTATGTGTTCATTTTAATTTATTCAGGTTTACATCAAATTTTACTCAAAGGTTTTTTTTACACCAATCCATCAACTTACAAAAAATTACATCAATCAACTTATAGTACGATCATGGCTTTCAAGATAGGTGTTTCCTTTTCCATGAAATGGAAGAAAAAATTGGAAGGGACTAATATAGTACAAGGTGTCACCACTGAGATGAAGAAATATTTTCCTGATGTTGCAGTTTTAACAATTGGTTACACTTGTTTTAATTTAAATATTTAAATAAAGAATTAAATTTTACGGACTTATTTAATCTGATTTTTTCAAATGTATTTAATTAAAAATATACAAATCTCATTAAATCTTGCTGGACTTATATATAGATAGAGATAGTCGTATTTTAAGTTAATTATTTTTTGTTATTTTTTTAGTATTTTAAATATATACAAATCTTACTAAATCTTGACTATAATTATATTTAAAATTAATTATTGTATTAAAAGATAATTCTTTGTTTGCAGATTGTGACTCTGATCTGGTCCCAGATGATATGAAGCAAACTCTTTCCCAACTCGACATCATTGTTTGCCTACCTTACTGCTTCAGAAACAAAGAATTTAAGAATTCTTTAAAAAACATTACCTGGGTTCACAGCTTTTCAACTGGTGATACACTTTTTAATTTATTTAAGCATTCTTTTCTCTAAAATATTACATAGGAAATTTAAAAATGAAATTATGCATTCTGAATTAGTATGTTATAATTTTTTTGTAATGTATTTTCTAAACAGGAGTGGAAATGATGATGGATACATTTGTAGGAGAGGTTAGTTAAATGTACATTTTTGATAATTCTGGTCCATACAATTTATTACATCAAATATTGGTTATTGATTTATCACTTAAGCAAACTTAATGTAAGTAGTTCAATTTGGTGTTTTTTTATTTTTTGGATTTAATTTAACGTTTTTTGGAATTAATAATTTTCTTTCACAGACTCCAAAGTTTATATTGACAAGAAATGCTGGTTTCTTTGACAACCAGATGGCTGAATATGTAGTTGGTCAGATCATTAGCAGGGAGAGACATTTTGAATACTACAAGACACAGCAGGCCAAAAAAAATTGGTAACTTTTTTCATTTTGAAAGAAACACGTTTTGAGGTATTCTATCTACACAAGTATTTGAATATTTACAGACTTGTTTATTCGTATTTATATATTTTCAAAATATCAAATTATTACTCAATCTAAGGAAGTTTAAAAGTTTCCGATTGTTAAGAAACTTAACTGCAGGAATCATTGGCTACGGAAGCATAGGCAAAAGAGGTATGAACTATTTGTGTTTTTTCAATTTATCACATTTTATAAAAATAATTTTCATCAATTTTCAACCTATCATTTTGAAAAATTTCAAGTTGTTAAATGCCTGAACCGTTTATCTATCTAATTGTACTTAACGCAACTTTGTCAATACAAAGTGCTAATTATTACGGCATATTTATCGCGTATTTTATTACTGTTTCTAAAAATTATCTTTAAAATTATTTCTATCGTTAATCAGTGGCGGAGTGCTTGAGGTCACTGAATATGAATGTGATAGCTCTGTCCAGGAATGCACAAAGTAACGGGTCCAAGGATGCCAATGCAGTAAGGTTTTCAATCACTCTACTAGAACTTTTTCAACTAACTACCTCACTAGAACTTTTTCCATTATAAACATTAAATATAATTTTATTTTAAGTTGCCAAATAATATGTAACTGAATATTAACTTTATTCTTTTGAAATATTTACATAAAAAATTTATCCAATTAAAGTTTAGGTGCATATACCAGACACAAACAACAGATACCATTTATAATTGTTCATTATTAAGCTAAATTTTTATATAAATATAAATTATTTTATTTATTATTATTATGTTATTATTTTAATTATTATTATGGCAGTCTAACGAATGATCTAGTAACTGTGCTAGCTTCATCTGACTACATCATATCAATCCTACCACATACAAATGAAACTAATGGATTCTTTGATGGTCAAGTGCTTCAACATTGCCAGCAAAAAGTACTAATTGCTATTTATTGCATATTTTGTTATTATTTCTGTTTTTATTATCACTATTACTACTACTACTACAATTGCAATTGTTATTATTATTATTTGTAGTACTCTAGTAGTAGTTGTAGAAGTAGTAGTAATAGTAGTAGTAGTAATAATAATAATAATAATAGTAGTAGTAGTAGTAGTAGTAGTAGTAGTAGTAGTAGTAGTGGTAGTAGTAGTGGTAGTGGTAGTGGTGGTGGTGGTGGTGGTGGTGGTGGTGGTGGTGGTGGTGGTGGTGGTGGTGGTGGTGGTGGTGGTGGTGGTGGTAGTAGTAGTAGTAAAAGTAGTATTGTCATTACCATTGATATTATTATTCTTTATTATTTCAGTTAATGTCACTATCATTAGTTTTTTCAACTGTTATCTATGTATATATCGGTTCTTTTTTTTTATTTATTCAAAGAAAAAAAATTTAAATATAAAATAAATTATTTATTAAAAATAATCAAATTGTGAAAACTAATTTAAAATAAATAAAATGTTAAGATGAAATTATTTCCTCGCCTGCAGAAACCCTGCTTTATAAACATCGGCAGAGGTAACGCTATCAGTGATAAGTCGGTCATAGAGGCCTTAGAGTAAGAAGTATCATCATGATTCATGATCAGGATAATTTTCATCATCATCCTTATTATTGTGATATCATTATTATAGTTATAATCTAAACTATTTTCTATACCGATAATATTGATCGTTTCCAGAATAAATTGAATATTATATGAATAAATATAAGAATTATATGAATAAATATAAATAAACATAAATAAATTATTACGAATCAGTAATGACTGGTTGAGTCATGCGATCTTGGATGTCTTTGAGGAGGAACCTCTCCCATCTGGCAGTCCCTTATGGGAGCATAAAGGGATAACCATTACACCCCATGTTTCTTGGCATGGGATTGATCCCGTAGAGGTTTTTTTTTATTAATTTAGTTTTTCAGTAATTTTTTTTTTATAAATTTTTGGTTTTCCTTTTTAGTTATTTTCTTTTAATCATAATTTGGTTTTTAAATTTCGTCACCATTCGAATATGAAGTGGCAAAATTACAAATAAAAATCGGTTCTTTAGTTGATTTTTTGAAAGTTTAGAGAGGTAATATTTTTTTTATTGATGTTTAATCTTTCGTCATATTGTTTTTTTTACTTGCTAAAATCCGTAGTCTATTGAAAGAATTAATTTTTCTTTATGTTTTCTATCTTTATGTCAATTTGATTCATTTGTTCATACCTCATTTAATGAAATGAAAATATATAAACGATTAAATAAAATGAATGAAAATTCGACAAAAATATGTTGAAAACTTTTTTATTGACAGTTCGTCAAAAACTTTTTAAAAAATTACGAACTCTTCTGCAATGGCCAACCTCTAAAACATCAGGTTGACTGGGGTAAAGGATATTAATGAAAATTTTAATTAATTAATCTTTCAATTAATTGGTTTATATATTAATTAATTAAACAATTAATGTATTGATTGATTTATTATTTGCTTAAACAATTTGTTAATTATTTATCGAATTATTCATTTTGTTGTATATATTTATTGGCTATTTGATTGTTTAAATGAATCTGTCAGTTAAGGTTTTTTTTTACAAAAATCTTTAACCATGCTATTTTCCATTGATTTCAAATAGTATTTCAATGCTGATTTTTAGTGTGTACACACATATATATATATATAATATTTAATAAATTTACTATTCTCTTTTTACTGCTTCGTTTTTGAGGTTGAAGTATTGTTTCCCTGCAAACGTCCGTTCCTTATTTTTTAAATTCTACAACCGTTATTGAATTGCTGCGATTTTTTTTTAAATAAATCATGTTGCTGTGAGGGTCTTGACTTGAAAGATGCAAAAATTTCTACGCCTCTATCCGAGAAACGTACTTTCTTTCAAGCTGAACAAAACTCGAACACGTAGTAAATTATTTTTCAAATTTTCCAGCTTTTTTGCCGCTTTTCATCGCTTTAACTATTTTTCCATCACTTAACATCGTTCACAGGGTACCTATCACAAGGCCTATTTTCACTTGTTTGCAGATTTGGTCGGACTGCACAGTTAAATACAGTTGTATATATATATATATATATATAATATGTTATATACTATATATATGGCAGTGGCGGATTTACGCACAGGCACCGGTCTGGGGCGTAAAAGTTTGAAAACCAATGATTTAAAAATGTTTAAGCTAAACCTCGCTAGACCGCTCGAATATCAGACAAAGTGTAACATTGTGAAAAACAATATGCAAAGTTAACTGTCACGTTAAAAGTCAATGTCACGTAACATATACGATTGAAGACACATTTAATGACAACGAAAGAACTGTTGAAAACTTTGGAAAGACTCTTCATAGTTTTTATCTGCCATTAAATCAACTAATCAATCTGAATTGATTAGCACATTGAATGGGGAATATTTTTACTAATTCATATATACGTACATACTGACATATCTAGTATTGAACACCAATATATATAATATCTATTTGAACCATTTTTCATAAGAAATACGGCAAATTTGACATAGGCTTCAGCTTGTTTTCACTATTATCAGCAATGAGCGCAACAATCAAATCAATTAATTAAACTAAGTCTTATCACCGACTGCCAAACAAATGAAATCTCTCTCTACCCATTTCTCTCCCTCTCTCTCTCTCTCTCTCTCTCTCTTTATTATCTTCCTCATACATACCGATACAACATACAAGTCTCTAGATATTAATTTACATACGAACATACAAACATTAGGAAAAAAATTATATTATTTATTCGAGGCAGTCTTGAGAGGTATACAGACGGGTGATAAACAAACACATGTGATATATTGATGAATTATGTGTAGATAGAAAAAAAATCGAATGAATTAACAATTTAAAAAAATAAATAATTGTATCTACTTATAAATACATACAAATAGATATACATGTATGTATAATATTTGTTAACAATCACTGCATTACCCGTGTGTGTTTGTGTGTGTGTGTGTGCTTCAGCAAAAGCCTCGCCGTTGAAGTTGCAAGGAGACGTGGAAGTTGCAAATTTTGCAGTGTCTGCTTGTATTATTACATTGACTTGGCTCCTGAGAACTTATCAAGAGTGATCAAAAGAAACTATTACTTAGTAGCGTATTGAACATGGTTACAATAGAAAATGAAACAAGTTAATTTTTTAACGTTACGACGGTATATGATGCCTGACAAAAATCGACTAATTTTCATGTTGTGGAATAAGAAATTCAGGAAATACCTGCTAGCAATCTTTCTAATCGTGGTTTTGTACATGCTGGTTCGCTGGCCTCGCGACGAGGAAGTACAGCACTTCCACCGGAAAATTGATGGTCTCATCCCTGAAATAGCCAAATTATCAAAAATCGGTTTGTAGTTTTTACTTTTTTTTAATTTTTTATTTCAATTTTTATTCTGTCATTTAAAATTTATTTTCTTGTTTTTCACGAACATCCTTCTGAAGAATGATTACAAATGGAATCATAAACCACAAATAGAACATGTTTTTTTTATAATTTTCAGTGGAGCAACCGAATGGTACTCCTCTGAAGTTCATCATCCTGGCCTTGACGGACAGGGCGTTCGTCGACATGACCCTCAACTTGTACCTCTCCAGTTTCAAACGCTTCAACATTAGTAATTATTTGTTTGTGGGTGCTGGACTGGAGGCCTGCCACCTGGTCTCCCTCGATATCAATTGCGTCCATTACACCGACGATCCCGATAGCCGCGTTGCCAATTCTTTTGGGACCAAGAGTTTCATTCACAAGATAAATATAAGAACCGGCATGATTTTGGATGCGTTATTAGCCGGATATACGGTTCTACATACCGACTTGGATGTCATCTTTTTAAAAAGTCCTTTGCCTTATATAGAGGTTTTATTCTTCAATATTTATTTATCATATGTTTCATGTGTTATAAACCATGGATGATATTTCAAAAACGTAGTAATCAAATTGGTCTGATGTCTATATAATGGTTCACTGGAACAAAAACATCTTCACTTTATTTCTGAGCAATGCAGCTGGAAGATTTAAAGACAGTTCAGACGGCAAAAAATTTCACGCTGTACGAACTGACAACGCAAAGCTCCGTCTAACAATTATTTACATGGCTACAGAGTTTTAAAAAATATGGAACAAAAAGCCATGAGATGACACTTGTAAACGTCTTTCACACTATAAAACTTAAAATTGCAAAAACCAAATAGCCTACAACAAGTCGACATGTGAAATTTGACATAAATTGAACGACAAACAAGTTGAACAGAAAAGTTAAATACTGCCGTTTGATCAAAGTTTCAGATTATCCATAACCAAATAGGTGAAAATTAAGTTAACTAAACTTTAGCTATAATGCAACACTTGAAAAATATTTCGATATGAGTAATTTAATTACATACAGAATAAATATACTGTAATAAAATGCACAAAAGCTCTAACTTAGAATAGTTATGTTTGATAAATTATTCAGCGACTGACGGCTAGCAGCAAAAAATTCGGCTGCGGGGGCTAACGGTGTCGACTGACAGATTTACCCGAAGCAGACAAGTCATGTTTTGAGATGTTGTTTCATTCGAACGGTATGTGCAATAATTTGTAAGAATTTAACATATCGATCGTTCTGACATTTTTTGTTGATATTAGATACCACTAACACAACGACTCTAATCTAGATATAACTCTGTTAATGCGGAGACTAAAATATGATGTAATGCTACATGACGAATAGAAGGCACTGCCAGTGGAGCAAAATTTATTCATGAATAAACACAGTCGCTGTTGTTCGTTTTGTAAATATTGGTTTTTATCTGTGAAAATCTGTTTTTATTGTGAAGGATATTGGACTAAAATACTTTGTTAAAGAATTTATAACATGATATTGAAACTACAAACACGATTTGATATGTTACGAGATTGACATTAACTATTACTCAATCCAATAACATAAAAATTTCATGTAATTTCTTTTTTTTTTGAAGTTCGCGAAGAAATTGAATTACAAAAAGCCAAAGTTTCGATTAAAGAATCATTACCGCAGGTTATAACCAAGCCATGACAATTTCAAATAATCATACTCGCATCCAAGACATGTGAAAAAAAAACTATTAACCCATGCATTAAGCACCGATGCAGCAACAAAATATTGCACAGGTATAAAACTACTACAGGTAAAAACTAATGATTTTCCAAAATCACCTGAAAAGACCTCGCACTCAGTTTACGCATGCACGCACTGTATTTTCATACAGAATTATAAATAAAATTGTAAGTATCCAGTAGCGGATCTAGACAACTTTGACTGGGGGAGGGCAAAAATTAGAAAATGTTTAAATTTTCACGAGGCCAATATTTTTACCGGAGAGGCCAAGATTTGTGGTAGTGTGGCTCTGACGACATTTTTTTATTCTTATCACGTTCAATTTTTAGTCGATTATACACATAAAACGGTCCTTTTTCTGACTTTTAACAAAAAACTGCTTGCAACGGAGCTCCCCGGCCCTGCCTCCAAAATCCGCCCCTGTAAGTGTCTAATGTGAAAAAGTTATATAGTATATAAAAACAATCCATACGTAAAAACATACATACACTTGCATGCCTGCACATGTACGTACATGATCAAATATTCGTTGCAAAGGCTTGAGTTGAACATCCATCCATCAAACGCTTTAAATTGTAAGCTGCGATTCATGAAATTTTTTATAATTGACGCCGACCAAAATCCAAATTTTACTGAATATTTCAGTAAAATAGTGTATAAGCACTATAAAACAAAATCAATATTTTAAATTTGTGTACGTGAAATAGGCATGCAATAATATGTGAATGCGCTTTGTTCATATGCTAAATTGACATGCTTATTAAAAAGATTGAATGCTTGTGATATAGAGAGGCAGAGATGAATAATTTAATTTTGATGTGATGTACGATTTAGAAATCCCTGCAAGAAAATGACATGGCTATCCTGTGGGACTATCAATCCTACAACGCTGGATTCCTGGCAGTCAAACCGACAAATTTTTCAATAACAGTCTACAGAGAATCACAATATAGAACAAACGTGTCATCGTGTTGGATTATCAAGCCGCTCTAAATATGGCACTCAAGAAAACTTTGAAACGAAAGACCTTTCGTAAAGTCAACATTTCAATTTTAGAACCGGAAATGTAATTAAATTTTTTGTGATTAAAATTTATAACAAATAAAAAATATGAATATAACAAAATTTTAATTATGACACCAGTGACGGATCTAGACAACTTTGACGGGGGAGCCAATATTATAAAAATGTTTGAATTTTGGAAAAAAAATTTAAATTTTGACGGGGGAAGATTTTTTGTTAACCACGTGAATTTTGCATCTATTTTTTTTACATAAAACGGTATTTTTTCAGTGCAAAACTGAGTTTTACTGACTTGTATTAACAATACTGCTCACAACGGGAAGTCATAGCTCCCTCCGGTCCCTCTAGATCCACTCTGAGTGTATTTATCAACTGTAAAACAACAGGTTTGTATGTGGACGAACATACTTTGAGTTAAGATTGTTTGAATTTTGTTGGTGTTGTTGATGGTATTGCTAGTAGTGATTTTGTTGGTGTTGTTGAAGTTGTTGGTGTTGTCGATGTTGTTGTTGTTGATGCTACGGATCTTGTTCTCTTTGCTGACGTGTTATGTTGAAATTGTTATTGCCTTTTTGATTATTATTATTATTATAGTTAATGTCTTCTGTTGTTTTTTTAACTTTTTGATTTTTTGTGAATGTAACATGATTTGAGGTTATAACGTTGTAGTAGACAACGAAATGTAAAACCAATGCAGGATGAGAGCATCAACCTTTTACATTCATTAATATTTCCTTTACTGTGAAAAATATGACACTTGAAGTCAATTTCAAAGGACAATTGCCCAATCGCACTTATAATAAACAGTTTTAAAGTTTTACAGTTTTACTAAATAAAACGGAATGATTATGTATAAGAACATTTTTGCCAGCTAAACTACTTATGTTTGCAATTTGTGTATTTATATAGCGCCAATTATAATTGCTTCTCATCAGCCCTCTCCTCGTATGAAGCATGTTGAAAGCAAAGCCATCCTCGGTGGAGATCACTAGGAGTTACAAAATAGGCATGTCTTTAGACGTTATCTAAACCCAGCTAATGATAACCCGGATAAACGATAGGTAGGTTGTTCCAAAAAATAGCAAATGCAAAATCTCATTCTGCTGTTTTCAGATTCCGAACATACAGCGTGCTTGAATCAGCAGATCTTAGACGATATATATATATATATTCGAATTTTCTAACGGTTGATTGTAAAACATTTTTACGCGTTTTCATTATCGGAGGACTTAACACGATCTGTCAAACATTTAAACATACACAGGCACACACTCACACAGACACACACACACCACATATATTCCACAGGACATACAATCACATGGACCGAAGCACGCACATACACACGTACGCACATGTACCACTACAAGGACAAACATGCTTTTAATAGAACATGAATAAAAAGCCCACACTTACGTCTAGGTTTTATTAAACACAAAACAGCTCCTAACTTTGCAGTCATTGCATAGTAAATGTCAAAAACCATAATCAAAAGTAATTGGGTTTTTCAAAATTTAGTAACAAACATGAAAGTCTATTTTGATTGGCTTGCATCATAAGGCCTGATAATAATGTTCTGTAAAATAAAGACTGAAATAATGACGACTTTATCAGGGGTAACAATCAAAAAAAGTATTAAATACTAAATAATATTTTTGTTAACAAACATAGGAAAGATAGTATTTATACAAAAAATAAAAATGTCTTGCTTTGCTCGAACTGAGTGAATCTGAATAATAAAATGCTTTTTCGATTTTTTCATTGAAATTCGTCTGCTCATTCGCATTGGAAAATGTTTCTTCAACTCCGATCAGCGATCCAATGTATAAGACCTGATCCTCGCACTGATCAAACGTTCCCCTTATTAAGTCATCATTAAGAATTTCGAGATTTTCGAAATTTAAAACTGCAGAAATATTAAAAAACTTCAAAGGTGGCGTTTTTTTTGTTTGGATGAGGAAAGGAAGATTGTTAAAACATTTTCCGGCCATTCCATCATTCCTCACTGAAAAAATTTTTTTAGAAGTTTGCCGGAAAGTTTCGTTGGCACACTGTTCAGCCGGACTCATTCAAATGTTGGATGGCACCAGAGGACTGTACAGAAAACTACTCTCCCGGTAAGATCCGGCGAATTGGTTGTCGAATTCTGTTACCTTCAGCCAGCTGTTTAGAGAACACTTTTCTGTGGGTCTTGATTTATTACAGTGGAACCTTTCATTGCATGATTTAATAAAATGTGCTTATAGTTAAAATGTTTCAGTAAAAAATGTTTTAAACACATTTTACAATATAATCGTCTCAGGCAAATTTTCAAATTAATTTCAAAGACAAAAAAATAAATTATTAACTTTGAAACCATAATAAAAATGTGGTCACATTTCTTGGGTCACTTTAGTTTTGACCTCACGCAACATTTAAAAAACTACGGTAACATCAGAAAAAATTATGAGATCAAAAACATAGATACCTCGGTAGAATCAACGTCCGATTTAGAATTTGTGCTATGGCCAGTGCTGTTTTGAGAGCTTTCTCTTCTTTCACGTAAACACAAGAATAGCTTTGTTTTAAGACAGGGTTGTCATAGATCAAATATTTTCTGTTCTTATCCGAATAATATCCCTCTTTATCGACCAACCACATGTTTTTCTCTTTGAATCGCAAAATCTTGGCCTCCTTGCTGATGATCCAATTGTTTTGGACCACCACACATTTTGGGCAGTTGTCCGAACCATCCTTTTGGGGGAAATTTCCATCCATTAACCCATCAGTGCCCAAATCACAACCACGCTACCAAAAAGTATCAAATTTTTCAGTTAGGTAGCTATACCTAATATGAGACCCTAGCACAAGTATTTTTTTGGATTTTATTATTTGTAACACGCCACGTGTTCCCAAATGGGAACAATGGGCACATCAACTACCATGTTCCCATTTGGGAACATCTTTTTTTTAACATAGAAATAAATATAGCAGACTTTTAATTATATGGAAAAAATGTAAAACGCAAAGAAAAATGATTTTTTTTAATCAAATGAATTTGTGAAAAAATATAGTTTAGTCAAATTTTATTAGTCATTTATTAAAACTGTTAAATTTATTGTTTTTCGTGATAATCTTTTTCACAGTGAAGATGCAATGGAACATTGCACTTGTTACATTGAAGACGTGCATTTTTTTTGCATTGTCGACATCTGGATTGCTTCCCAGATGGAACCAAATGATGACCCGTCATATCGAATCTTACATCAGGAATAGGTTGGCTATAAGGTCCTGTCATCATCTGTGCTGGTTCTTGCAGTTGCATGATTGTACGCACAATATATCTCCTGAAATCTAGATGATCAAAAGTTCCTCCCACTTCAACATGAAGTCGCCAGGCTGCTACGACAGCCATGTTTATTCCATTTATGAACAATGGCCACCACCATTTCTTGGACCTCAACATTGGTCGATAGGAAGCCATAAATCTGTCAAGCAAATCGACTCCTCCCATGTGTGTGTTGTACCTTTTAATGAGTGCTGGTTGAGGTACATCTACAGAGGCTTTCTTGGTGCTGCTCCATCTCCGAGCTTTGCCAAGTGGAAGAATTTTATCATAATTTGATGCAACTATGACACATTGATTATCATTCCACTTGACCGCGATTACGTTTTTGTCACAACATGCATCATAAAATCTTCTGTCTTTCTTTCTCATTGTTTTTGAATCCATCAATGGACACTTTGTCAAACGATTTTCTTTTACTGTCCCTGTTGCTTTTATATTTTTTTCTTTCAGTGAGCTGAGCAAAGAGTAGTTGGTGAAAAAATTGTCAAAGAAAACTTCATGATCAGCAGGATTTTCAAGGCAATCTAACAGTGACATGACTACACGATGACCTAGTCCATGACTTTCATCATTTGTTGTCTGTGGTTCTTTGCCACAGTACACCTGTACATTGAATGGATATCCACTGGATGATGCTAATACCCAAAGTTTATACCCAAAACGAATGGGTTTTCCTCGTAGAAACATTTTTGCTGAGTGATGTCCAAAATAGGGTACCATTTCTTCATCAATACTAAGAAATTTATTGAAAACACCAAATTGTTGGAAACGAGTATTCAATGCAGAAATGAAAGAACGAACTTTAAATAATTTGTCTCCTTGAACAATCTTGTCATTATCTGCCAAATGAATATATCTTTTAATTTCTAGGAATCGTGATCGAGACATCTGTTCTGCCACAAATGTAATTCTTATATCTTCATCCCTATTCCAGTACATTCTTTCCCGAGGCAATGTATGATATCCAGTCAGTAAAAGTATTCCAACAAATTTGTCCAAATCTAGGTGATTAAATTCAAATTTATTATTGTTTTTTTGTCCAGCATATTTGACTGTCTCATTCACTATCATATCCCTCAACTCATTGTCATAATAAAGTTTGAAAAGATGATATGGTGATTTGGAACATAATTCTGGATATTTTGATCTTATTTTTTCTGGTGTTCCTGTTGATGATTTTCCAGTGAAATTTATTTTTTTGGTCCATTTTGGTTCTGGCTTCTTACATTTTTTATCTTTTTTTTGTAATCCAACATCATTACGTGCGTCTGCTTGTTCTAAAAGAACACCAACTCTTCCAGGAACTTCATTTGGCATGTTTGATGGCAGCAAATCGTCATCATCTATCATCTCTTCATCTGAAATGCTGTCTACCTTCGTAGGAGGAAGCAACACTACATCAACTGGAGTCTGTGAATCCGTAATTGCATCTGTTGCGTCAGCTAAACGCTCAGATTCTTCAAAATCCATATTTTCATCTGCCATAATGTTAGCAAGAACTTCTTCAGTACGAAATCTCTTCTCAGACATACTTAAATTGTAAACAATTTAAAATAAAAATTATTAAATATATCACTATAATATCATGAGAAACTAAATTGAGCACATGAGGTACTACGTTCCCATTTGGGATCATAGTACCTTATGTGCCCAATGTTCCCAATTGGGAACGTCAACACATATATCTCATTTAAAAAATAAGTTTAAGATAAACCTCTAATTTCATAATTTTAAAATATTAAGAAGTAATTGTGAATAAGTAAAAAATAGTTTAATTTAAATAAAACATAATACTTACTTGGAAATAAAATCAGAAAACAGACTAAAAACTTTTTTTAAAAATACAAAATTTTTAAAATGGCTACCAAAGCATGCGATGACAATACAAAAGACCACGTGACTGTATTGCATAGATATACTATTAATAAATATAGATTGGCCAAAACATGTAAAGTTTGTGCAAATATAAAATTTATGTAGCGCTAAATATACACGTTCCCAAATGGGATCATTGGGCGCTAATGAGTTAATGTAAGCACTTGAACTAAAATGTAAATACTAAATAGCCTTCAGTTATGCACACACACACTCACAACACAGGCACTCGCCAGTTAAATTTTTCAGTAAATTCAAACATTAAACTTCCAAATTTACATATTTTTATACATGCACAAGCACATACATGCCTCTTAGCTTATATTCAACGAAATCCAGTCACACATGAAAACATGTTCAGCAGACACACGGATGTTGAGTGTGTGTGTGTGTGTGTGCGTGTGTGTGCGTGGGTGTGTGTGTGTGGGGGTGTGTGTGTGTTTGGGTGGGTGGGTGTGGATGTGTGCGAACGTGAGACAGAAAGAGACAGAGAGCAATTATAATATTTACATTAAAAAATTGTTCTTATAAATATTTCAATTTTCAAGATATGTTAATCGCTTAATTATAGAATATTATATTCAAATTACGTAAACTTACTTACATTAACGATGTTTGACTACTAAGCAAACATTTGATCACCGGATCTGTGAGATTTTTCAAACTCCTTTTATTAGTGCTTCAACGAAAATGTTTTTTCCTGTCTGCCTCTGCATATACACCTTCATACCAAAAATTGTTTGTACAATTTTCCCTCCTTGATAGTTTTGTATGTTTGTATATGCAAATTTTTGCGTGTGTACGTGTATTAATATACATAATACTTAATGTAGATACCCGTATTTTTGAATATGCGGAGACTGAATAAGGCTATGTCTTCTGGCAAGTAATTGTTATGAAGTTGAATGTGCGTATGTATAAAGGCATCATCATCGTCGACATCATCATTAAAATCATCATCAATATCATCAATTCGCCGGATCGTACCGCAAGAGTAGTTACCTCTACAGCCCTCTGGTACCCTCCAACATACGAGCGAATGAGCCTGTCTAGTGAGTGTCTCAACCAAATTACTTCGAAAACCTCAGGGATTGAGCTGTTAATTATGTTTTTATAAAGTTTTTGTAGTTTTCATTCGACTGAGCAATTTATTTAAAGCATCTTAACACAAGTTGACTACAACTTTTGGTTATTATTTGAACGATGAAAAACTCGTAATGCTTTATTTCGTGTATAGATTCGTCAACTTTTGTAATAACTATTTGTGATATTATCTTAAAGTGCGTGCAATTTATTGTTTAATTAACATTTTAATTAACTGATTAGCTTGATAATTAACTATATAACTAATTATTTAATTAATTACAACCACATCTGCATGATGTATCGCTTAATATATACACACCTCAACGACCAACATTCATCAGTCACGTTATTGCTAATGGTCTTGTTGTGTTTATTTTAATTTTTTTAATTAAAATTTCCTGAAGACAATAAAAATAATTGAAAGACTTTAAAGGTCTACGGCGTTGGAATAGGTTTGTAGAAAATTGTACAAAGATTACAATAGATGTATACACACTCTCACACACACATACACACAACACACATACACACAAACATTAAAATTCTGAAAAATTATTGCAAAACTGCTAAATTACCACAATCGTAAATATAAACTGTAAAATTTATTGACAAAACTAATGAAAAAAAATATATATGAAATATAAATATATGACAATATGAAACGCCAAAGAAGCTACCACAGGGGCGCCACACAAACCTTTGAACTGTAAAGACAGTCTGCAAAACAGAAATTTTTAATTTGTAGTCAACTTCCGCTTTTAAATTTTTTTCACGTCTTTCTTTCTCTCTCCCTTTTTTTCTCTCTTTTTTTTTTATTTTTTTCTCTCTGCCTTTCTCTCTCTCTCTTTCTGCCTCTCTTTCTCTTTCTGCCTCTCTCTCTCTCTCTCTCTCTCTCTCTCTCTCTCTCTGCTTATCTCTCTCTCTCTCTCTTATTCTCATTTTTTTTCTCTATTATCTCTCTCTCTCTCTCTTTCTCTCTTTTTCTTTCTCTATTTATATATATTTATATCTCGTCTTTTTTCTCTAATTGAGTCACTTGTATCTGTTAAGTTGTACCTGTGATTTTGTGGTACTTCTATAGTAAGACTGGTGTAACATAAAAAATTTGTTTTTTGAAACTCTTCCTTATTGTACCGGTTGTAATGGCATGTGTTTTCCTGTTTTAACGTTTTGTGCATCTTCAGACTAAAATAGCAAAAAATATATTTTATATTTAATTTGTGTCGTAAAGCAAAGGAAATTGCTGTTGTTGGACAAACTAATAAAAATAACATGATGGTCAATCATTTTTTGACTTGCTAGCCAACTGGACGCATGGTTCTTCAACCAGTCGGAGTTGTTTTGAGTCAGTTTTATTAAAAATTTTAGCTGGCGGCCGTTTCGGTTATTGCCATCGTTGAAGTCTGTTTGTGTGACATGTTGAGATTCTTCTCCTCCTCCTCCTCCTTCTTCTTCTTCTTCTTCTTCTTCTTCTTCTTCTTCTTCTTTTTTTCTTCTTCTACTTCTACTTCTTCGTCTTCTTCCTCTTTTTCTTTTTTTTTTCTTCTTCCTCATCTTCTTTTTCTTCATCTTCTTTTTCTTCTTCTTTTTCTTCTTCTTCTTTTTTTTCTTCTTCTTTTTCTGTATATTAACAGTCAAACATTTCATCTTTTACAATGAACTTAGATGTAAAACCATGCATTGTAAAAGTACTTATGTGCGGTTTTGGCCTTTGTTGAGATCCTCTTGAAAAGCGGGTCAATTAGATGTTCTTGAAAATGTTTATTTCCTTAATGTATGATATTAGGATTATTTGTTTACATTTTTAAAAATTGAGCGTATGTAAATTATCTGGAATTTGATATTTTTCTCTGTTTTCATTTTATGTGTTGAATTGTTAGTTTTGCATTTACACTTCTCACAAGTTTTATTAAAAGAACTCTTAAACACCAAATGGAAAGTTAGGTTCATTCATTCATTCATTCTTTCATTCACTCATTTATGCATTCATTCATTCATGCATTGATAGATATATGACAATTATATAAATTAATTATATTCTTTGTTTTCTTATATGTCTGTGTTAGCTTATGTGATTGTGTGTGTGTGCGCGCCCGTGTGTGTTTAAGTACATGCATGTGTGCACATATTCATGCGTACATATAGCGGTATTTAGTAATATATTTTAAATATGAGCACACACAGACACACGTTAATATACAGAGAATTGCCTAAATTCTAGTCCGTCCGCTTATATTTCTATCATTACATTGTGTAATTCTTGTAACATGTTAATGTATGTGTCATAATTTGTTACTATCGATTGCATTTTTAGTTATTTCTCATCTCCGTTTATATGTGAATATGCTAATTAGTTTTTATATACGTATGCGTGTGTGTGTATGTGTATGTAAAATTAGGAAGAAGACCAAATTCTAAACATTAGAGGGTCCGCCGACGGTCCGGCGTTTGTGGGTTTATGGGTTGAATTTTTAATTGAAGGGTTGGCTTATGAACTTATGGGTGCTGAGCCGTCGGTGGATTTTTTGATTTTTTGAGCAAATATATGTATGTGTATATATATTTATTATTATCAATAATTTATTACTACCGATTGAATTTTTAGTTATTTTTTCGTCTTTGTTCATTTCTGAATATGCTAATTAGTTTATAAAATTGGTGAGTTTGTGTTTAATTCGCTAAAATACAATATTTCTTATCGTCGTAAATAACATGATAACTAAGTCGCGTAAGTCATCAATTTAATTCGTCGCCACTATACATTCGTTTAACGATGATCGAGTTTGATAGCGAGCATCATATCAGTGATCCGCTAGTTCCCTGTTCCTATGTGGATACGGTATTCATCGCAACATCAAGATAGAGAACAAGAACTATCTACATAATAATACAATTTACAAAGAATACCATCCACATAATAGTATGTATGTATATGTGTGTGTATGTGTATATCTATTATTATAAATAATTTGTTACTACCCATTGCATTTTTAGTTACTTTCGGTTGATACTGTTATTTTTAGTAAAGGCACTGTTACAAATATTTATTTACTTTTTTGTGCTTTTTCAAATAAATTAATATATATACATATATATATATATATATATATATATATATATATATTTGTGTGTGTGTGTGTGTGTGCGCGCGCGCGTGTATATATGTATATATGTAAATATATGTATATATTTGATTTCTGGTTCACAGACGTCGCCTTTATAAAAATGAACTCTCATAAGTTCGAATATTTTTTGGTTTAAATTATTTTTATTTTTCAACAGTAGTTTATAACTGATTTGACGTTACTGCTCGTTCGTCTGGAGGGGTTAGTCATGTCATGTAAATTGATATTTCTTTGTTATGTTACACGTTTGATTAATTTTTGAGGACATTTAATTTTCGCATTCATAGATATTTATTACTTTTTTTATTTAGTAAAATTAAAATATTATTACAAATACTGAAATTAATGTCGAATTGAATTTTTAGTTACCTTAGACGTGATTGTGCAAGTGTTTGCCAGTTTCGTGTGTATGTGTGAGTGAGTGCGTGTGTGTTTATGCGTGTGTGTTTATGCGTGTGTGTTTATGCGTGCGTGTTTATGCGTGCGTGTTTATGCGTGTGTGTTTATGCGTGTGTGTTTATGCGTGTGTGTTTATGCGTGTGTGTTTATGCGTGTGTGTTACGTTTGTTTTTCAAATCATCTGGTATGTATAAGATATTAACATAAAACTTCGCATTAAACCTGTTGTAAGGTTAACCAAGGAGTCTTGGTCAACTATTTCTGTCCTAGATTAAATTGTAGACTGGCTGTTTGTGGGTTTGTTCAATTTCATGGGTTTTCTCGCTTACTACATACTCGCACGCACGCACGCACGCACGCACATGTGTTTATTTCTGATTATATTTCTATATTTTCAATAAAT